TATAATTTTGTACCCTGACTTATAGTTTTAGGTAGTTGTAAAAAACAATAACGGACTGCATGAACTCCTGTATAATTACATCAATTTCTCGTCTCGAGGCGTCTAACTCGTCGAAACGAGTATGTGTAATTAAACGGCATCGGGCACTGTTTATTCAGGAAGGTTGGCATTGTTTTGAATTAGAGAAAGTACACTTGCGAGTACACAAAAAAAAAAAACACTTTGACAATACTCGCGCGCGCGCGTTTTTGTATGTGTTACTGTTTAACCGATTTAAAAAAGATGAGGTTCTCAATTCGATTGTACTTTTTGTGTATGTTATGCGATTACTCCGACATTTGTGAACGGATTTAGACGATTTTTTTTTGTTGAAAAGGGGTGTCCTACCTCAGGGGGCCAATCGCGCTAATTGTCAAAGGTTTAACCAAAACCTCCAACCTCGCCAATCTGACACGTTGTGTACATTTCGTATCGCGCTAACTGTCAAAACAAAAACCTAAGCCAAAACTTAGACGTGTGACACGTAACGCACATTTGGTATCGCGCTAATTGTCAAACGTAAAACCAAAACCTAAAATGTTGCAAATTGGTATCGCGCTAAATATTTTGACGTTTTAACCTCACATGTAACCTTGGGGGAATAGAGTAACCTTGGAAAGGTTAAGGTTTGTGTGGCAGTTAATTGAGAGTAACTTTTCACTACGTTTATCGTATATAAAAGATGTTCCACGGTTACTTAAATGTTTTGGAAAGTGTTTATGAGGTGGATGTGGCCTAAGAACGGGCTTTAAATAAAAGAAAAGCATAGAAAGACGATCACATTTAACATGTCTGAGGAGAAATTCCGCAAACGATATACCGTTTGTCCACGGAATTCATTTCAGGATTGGTGGAAGAACTATGCCTACATATTCTCGTTAAAGGACGGTCTGTTGCATTGGATGTGGAGACAAATGTAAGGGTTAAGTGGAATCCGAAAGTTCTCAGTTTTGCATAATAACCAAAATTTCTATACTGTGTAAATCATTATTAATTTTGTTACAGATTTTAATAGCTCGTATAGTTTTTAACAACTGGGGCGTACTAGACCCCCATTGGCAAGTGCTTATCACCCTTTCCCAAGCCAGTGTCAGAGAGGCACAAGCAGTAGCTGCTTCAAATAAACCAGTTAGGTATTATGAATAAATATGCAGCTTTCCTAAAAGGCATGCCGAAAGAGATGATATTAAAAGGCGGTGAGAAAATAAGCTTTACAATGTACATCATATTTATTAGTTCTTGTCTTATTTCCTGTTGTTATTATCAAATTAAAATTACAGATATAGGTAAAATATGTATAGTTGTATAAAAATATATTACAAGGTTACAATTTATCTCTTTTAACACTTGACTTTATACAACATATCGTCCCCTTACAGTGAAGCCTCACATATGCATTTTCAGTTTGTTTTTACTGATTTTTGTTGAATAAAAATTAATAATGTAATAATATAGTATCTAAAAGAGGTATAATTTAAGTAATTAAAATGCTAACTACACACATTATTGCATTTACTATACTTCACACCATATTTTTATCTTCATCCTAAAAAATTACATAGAAATATGAGGTATTCATTCTAAGATGACGATGTATACCTATTGTAATTGTTTATTATCTTAATATCTAAATTGATGTATACTTTTAAGAGGTTGAAATAAAAAAAAGAGTGTATTTTTAGTTTATTTATTGCCTCAATCTACCCCAAATGATCCTTCATTTCCAGAGCGAGCTTGCTTTTGATTCTTCAAAGAAGTCTGAAACAAAAATATGTATAAAGGAAGATTGGAGACCTAAATTTAAGACTGTGCCATACCTCTCATGAGAGTAGTGACAGATAAAGCAGGATGGGTATTTATATACATACAGTATGAAGCCAACATAAACGCCAGAATGTTTAGGGGCCTTTTCAAAATACATTTAAAAAAATGTTTATATCACTGTGGAAATATAAAGGGGACAAAAGTCTACAGATTAGACCTTCGTTCCTTACGCTCTTTCAGATTTCCACAATTGAACATATCATCAGCAGGAATTAAGAAAACATGTTGAAAACAAACCTGTCATTCTTGTTAAATATTCTATCAAAAAGATTAACTGCAGGCACCAACTCGGTAATTGCTTTGCAAATAGCAGCTACGGATTGGGCATGCAGATCATCTGTTTTGACAGAAATAATAGCTGCCTCAGCCTGCACCCTGCCAGCATTCACTTGCTGCAAGAATGCTTCGCATGCTCGCAGCTTCTCAATGCATAAGAATTCTACCCGGCTCTGCTCCAACGCTCATCAGCTCGCTGCCAACGAAATAATAGATGTGATGTAATAAAGAGTGGGAAAGAATTTGCTCAAATTGAAAGTTACTTTGTTTTTTAATTAATAATAAAGAGTGAGAAAGTTACTTTGTTATGGAATTGTATGTTTGAAGTTATTTAGTTACTTAGTGCTAGAGTTGGTGTCCTTTAGGAAGGTTGGTAGGTCCTCTGCCGCAGTCGATGTGGCGTAGATTCTCACCCTGCTTTTCATACCATTCCATATCTGAATAACAAATAATAACATTGCATGTTATAGTGATATGAGTTCTGGTACAATAAGGGTGAGTGATCCATTCACTGTATCCTATTACCTCTCATTATGACTCACCTTTTGGGATCTATTGCGGGGCCACAAAATAGCCACACACTCGCACCAAAGGCGTGCTGATAACACGCGCGAACAACGCCGAGCGAAGTCATTCTCAAGCTAAATCTCTGTGCGATTCGAACTCCAGCAAAGATGGAGCTGGCTTACAGTGGTCGCTCGCCGTCCGACCGCATCCACATTGGCTGAAATACGAGCATCATTATTAATTCTACATTGCTAACATTTCGAAATTAATAGTAGTTAGCGTACCTATTTGATTGTATAAAAAGATACTATTTTATTAAATAGAATATTAAAACAGGAAAACAATGTGTAGGTACTTACCTCTGTGTGTTTTATCTACAACAACACACTAAATTCAATTAATTTGGTTCAAATGACAACTCATATGTTTGTTTACAATAGAATTTAATGACATTTCTTTTACACACTTTTTTAAATCGCTCTTTTATAGACTTGAATTCGTAGATATTGACATTTCAGTGCGTTTTACGGTAAAATTTAGTCGGTTTTAGGAAGTCAAGGCACGTCTCTTAAAATTTAATACGAGGTTATAGTTTGAGGTTTAACTGAGGTTTAGGTTCATTAAAACTGATAGCGCGATTGCATTTTGTGCGTCGGTAGAACCATTAATTAACCAAAACCATAACCTCAAATGTTGTACGGTTAAACCTTGCGAAAATAGCGCGATTGGCCCCCAGTAGTGGTCCTACTCGAATTTGAAGAATATAGTCCACCCCTAAGGGTGGCAAATTAGGGAATGTATTAGGTTTATTGGATTTCACCTGCTTTCCGTTAACCGATTTCAATAAAACTTAGCAAATAGATGTAATTCCAATAAAAATAAAATGTTATGGTCAGGTGGAACTGACTTGACAATGAAATGGCCTTCAAATGAGAGGGACTCCTCAAGAGAGTACTGCATGAATACTGCAGTGTGTTTAGGCTCAAATGATTCGTTTTGACGGGGACTTCCATTGCCTATGCGCTATGCGTTTCAGTTATAGTTGAAAAGACAGCGCAAACACAGCGAACGCGGTAAGCAAATCTTTGAGGTCGGTTTAAAAAAATATATAATTAAACAATCAATGCACATGTTATTTCAATGTCTATGCTTTAGTTTACAATCGTTGTGATGTACCGAAGTCTACTACCAAATGTGAATATACACAATCAGTAAAGTCCAGATTAAAGCGTTTACTTAGTCACTCGTTCATAGAAAATTAAAGTAGGGTCATTAAGGTTTATAAAGATTGTTGATAAGTACTAATTATTATTAGTTAAACAATATAATGCGTTTGAAAACTTAAAACGTCAACACGGGAGCAAATTGCACGATAAAATAGGCGTCTACCTATTTCTCAAGTTTATGCTACATGCAGGAGAAAAAAAAAGATAATATAAACTATATATAGATTGTAAATACACTAATCCCCTATATATCGTATTAATACTTTTATTATAGTGAATAAAGACGCAAAATAATGTCCTTGAGTGAAAAGCGTATAAGGTATCGATATAAAAGAAACTAATATTTTGCTATAATGCCTCACATGTGACGGGATGAACAAGTTGTGCGCCTGGTGGTAAGCGATACGCCCTAAATCGCAAACATCTGAGGTGCACTGCCACTGCCGTCCGTCACCCTAAGACATTTCGTCCAGGGATGTACTGCCACTTTACCTATTACTATTATTATTATTAGTATTACTGCGTTTAGGTTTTGAAGGGTAAGTTTGCTCGTGAAAATACAGGCACATGGGACTTGTCAACTTATGTCTCAGGGTGACGGGCGCAGTCGTAGTACCCCTCAGAATTTTGCTATATAAAACTCGGAGTGGCACTGCAATCGCTATAGACAGGCGTGCCGTTGTCGTTTGTTTTACGTGACCTCAATATTTTATTTGATTGAACTAATACAGAACTTTTTTAATGCTTTTGGAATTCAAACCATAACTGGAATTACTTACGGTACTTAGTAAATTCCATTCGTATTGAATTTACACACTGTTAGTTTAATCAGTAAACAGATATGAACCCACGTGTTTACTTACATTGGTATCAAAACATGTTACTACAATCCATTAAGGCGTTATTTTGATTATCATCATTAACCGGTAAATGAGGAAAATACCTTCATCTCGTGGAAATAATTGTCAACGTGTTGTTGAAATAAGGTGCTTATTCTTTTCAATAGTAAAAAACACGTAATTACTAAAAATACTAATAGAAATACAATTGTTGTAATACAAATGTTGAGTGTGTGTGTTATTATTATTATTATTAATTTCAAAAGTAATAATAAACAAAGATACTCACATAAAGGTCTTCCCCAATGCTTCCATTTTTTTTTAATTCACTCTATGACACTTGACCACGAATAGTTCGAAATATGCGTCCGCTAGCGTGGTCACAAGTCGACTGGGACTCAACGATATATACGTGCTACTAGTCTTTGCTGAGACTCTAGTAATAGAGATTGTGAGCTGCGTACAATGTTAGGAGTAATACATGTTTGATGGTCTGTGTTATCTGCATCCTTTAGATAAAGTTTAACGGTCATATCAGTGTACAGCCAATGTTCTAATTGTTAATTAAAGATTAACGCTCCATTGAATGCTTCAATGCATACCTACGTAACATGCTATTACAAAGTAAAGGCATAATAAAGGGAATTAAGTATTATAGTTTAGATACAAGAACGTTCTTGTAGCTCGCTGTAAGACTTCTCCATAACTAGTACAGTGTGACGTAAGTCCGACGTAAGAACTACGTTTACTTACGGGTTAAGAGCGCGTCAAGCCAAGACATAAATTACAATTCTGTACCGCTTATAACAAGAACGGTCCACAGTACCAAGTTTGATGTGTTCTTGACAACTTTTTACCTTGTATGGTAAAAACAATGTAAAAATATTAAAAAAAAAAAATAATTTTGCTGTGTTCAATGTACAGTGAAAAGCCTAACAAGCTTGATACTTTGATTATTTGCAATGCGTTTTAAAAGTGTAGGTACAGTCAAGAGCACGTCAAGCTTGACACTTTGTACTTTGGACCGTTCTTAAGTGTCAAGCTTTTCGTGCTCTTGACCTAACCTCCATCAAAAAAAATTAAGGTGTTATACCTACTACTTATATTTAATACATAGAAACGGCTATTACTATTAACGGATAACTAATCACAGCTTTATTAGAACGGTTGCGTTTGTGAAGGAGCTATATGTATGTATATAACGTCACCAGATTTTATATCAGTAGGTTAAATTATTTTTTAATAAGTATTATTAAATCGCAACCCCACGCACTGTGTCAATTTAAGTATAGTATATTTATATGAATAGCAAGTGGGTACTATGCAGAGGTTTTTAACAGAAATTTTTTTAAACTGCAATGGACGTTACATAAGTGACATAAGAATACATTATTCCACAACAATTTTGAAAGATTATTATGTATATCTTAAATTTTATTTTTATTTTATATATTTATTTAAAGCAGGCTCCACATTCTCGGCAAGAATATTTGACAAAACTGGCCAAAACAGGGCAAGATCGGTTGCGAACCTCTACATTCTCGCTTGGGACAGTTTGTACATAGAAGCACTACAAGACGAGCGTTTTAAAATTATCTGCCGGTGTAGCATTATGCCCTACAGCTTATTACAATTACTCATTAATCCGTGAAAAATAAAGTTATTACAAGAAGTTGGAATAAGCAAGCTATCATTAAATTTATTTCGATCTTTGTGGTCAGGTTAATTCGGGTTTCGTAGTATGACGTTGATAAAGTTCCAGAAAAGTTAATCCAAAATCGTGATTCCAATTTATCGGCATTTTTAATAGAAAAAAAAACACACGTATTTCGGTAGTTGTCGGCCAACTGACTGGAACGAGTGTGGAGGAAGAGTTTTGCATAAACACGATGCTAACCGAGAATTCTTTGATCTTTTTGACATTTACCGACAACATACATATGCGGTAACTCTCGTGTAGATTTGCCGAGAATGTGGCGCTTATGATATGGTCAACCATGCCGATGCGGGTATAGGTTAATACAATGTTCAATTTGTTTAAATTTATTGTTAACTCTGCATTGTCAACTTACTAAATTTCTATGCTAGATAAAAATATTTTTGTGGGGTAGGCCCCAGAGAAATAGTTTCGTAGCGAATTGTGAAATATTATAAAGTGAAATAATCTCTTTACAACAATATTTGAATCCTCTGATGATCGAGAACAAAAGAGGAGAAAAACCCTTTTAAGATAAAAAGAATTGGATGAACTAGGATTCCCTGAAACTCTTGTGAAAGAATCAATGGCAGCTTTAGTTGTTGACTCTGAGGCATTCTTTTGGTTGGGGAAGGAAGAGCCTAAAGTTGACATTGAAATTCATGAAAATGACTCATTTGAAAAATTCTTTGAGTTGGGAGATCCAAAAATAATATCTCAAGAAAATTCAGAAGATGAGGAGTAGAAATCAGTGAGAGGCTACTTAGAATCTGAATCTGGGGTTGCCCGAGAAAGAGCGGCTAACTAACTGTCTAAAGGTGTCCAAATTGCAGAATGAGGTTCATCAGATAAACATAAGATAATTAAATTAAAAACTAAAGGAATAAAAAAGCAAGAAGTATTAATAAGTACTTCAATTAAAGTATTATCGAGACATTCACATGTCAGTTATTTAAAAAAGTACATAAGAAATCAGGAAATGGAAGTTGTTGAATAGGTTAGGTAGGCTAAATTATTTAATAAAATACCAGATGCAGTTAAAGAACTAAATTGTAGGCAATTTAAAATAAAATTACATAATTTGTTAGTTACACAATGCTACTACAATATAAATGATTTTTTAATTGATAACATAAAATGTAAAATTTAACCACTGTGCGTGATTGAAATAAGAATTGTGTAAAATATTCGCATGCCAAGTTTTGGTGAAATGTACGATCGAATAATAATATACTATAACACCATTGTAAACTACATTTTTCAGCGAATAAATATCTTGTATTCTAGGTAATCTATACGATATAATATCCAATGCGCCTATTTTGCGTGTTTTGGATATGATATATATATAATATCCAAAACACGCAAAATAGGCGCATTATATATGCCGAGTTGCGGACACCAGCCCATTACACCAAGTACCAAATTAAAGATGATTAAAGGAAATTCATAGTGAATAACTTCTGCAATATTTGTTAAAAATAATGAAACATAAATTGTACATGTGTAGATGTAGACTCATAAGTATATAATACAATAATTAATTATAATTTATAAAATTTGGTGACTTTATTATTATTATTATTAGGGTGGCTTCATTTGGGGCCTATGAGGCCCCTCATTATTGCGACCATTAAATGAAGTATTGTGGTCACCACTAAATACAGCTCGGAGCCAAAACCAACAGCATCAAGGAAGTGAAGGATTTTCCTGGCTTTGACAGTTTTTATGTCCTCTGGGTGTGGCCTGTGCCTACCCAGTATAGAACTAGTTACGCCCATTAGAGGGCAGCACTGGGTGAAGAGACGCACAGGAGTTTCATCCGCCTCGTGGCAGAATCTACATTCTCTGTTTTCTCTCTGTTCAATATTTGACATGTGCTTGTTCAAGCCATTGAGGCTTGGCCCTGTTAAGGCTCTAGCCAGCATACTGATGCCATTCCTGTCCAGTGACAGAGCTTCACTACAGTGTTTGGCACTGAAGGCAGCTATCAGGGCTTTTGAATGCTCAAGACCCTTAGTCTGCAGCCACATGTCACGGGAATCGTGTGCGCTCTCGTTCAACAAAGTGAGCTTTGCCAGGCTGTGTGCTATCCATATAAAGGGCTCAGAACCAATGATGGCCTCCCTAGCACCAGCCTTTGCCAATTCATCCGCTGCTTCATTACCCTCGATGTCAGAGTGACCAGGAACCCAATGCAGATTCACATTATTCCTTTCCCCGAGAGTATTCAGTATAGTTACGCAGTTCTCTACAATCCTCGAAGTTTGGGTGACTGAGGCTAGTGCATGCAGAGTGGCTTGACTATCTGAGTTTATATAAATATAACTGTTAACGTAGCCTCTCTTCAGGTTCAGATCCGCACAAGCAATTATGGCGTATGTTTCGGCCTGAAAGATAGAGGAGTGTCGACCATTTTCAGCTTGTAGCGGAGTCTGGGTCTCACGCCGTGTATACCAACAGTCTATGTTGGGTCCCATCTTGGACCCATTGGTGACTTTAATACTAGTATATTTTTCCCAGGATATTGCTTATATGCTACATTGGTTGCCTTTTAACACTTTCGTTACCACGGTAGTTAAATACTCGCACAAGTAATACCTACACACATATTTGTACGGTTTTGCTGATGTCTAGGGAAACCGTCCATTTTGGATATTTTATTTATCCTAACAAAAACCTTTGAAATTCGCTGAAACATCAGACAACAAGGACTGATAGTAGTAACCACAAAATAGTAGAAAACTAATCTACTGACTGATTAGACCATATTTTTCTTTGTACATAGAAACTGAAAAATCTATCTATTTGTGCACTAATATTGCACATACAATCTTATGCATAAATTCTTTCACATTCTTCATCATATTGTAATTTTTAGCAATGGTTTTTTGCTAAAGATTACAATTTCATTCTCAAATAATTAATATAAAAAATAAGTGTTTGAAATATATAAAAGTTATATTTATTAATACAAAATAATCAAATCACCACAACAATAATCAATTGTCACAATAAATTATTACAATCCCTTCATTAATGGGATAAATGTAACAAAAAATAAAACACCTACAATACCTGACACATGGTTCTATTGAAATTCTCTATCTATAATTTCATGATAATCCTTGATCCTCTTTTCTGTTTCTTTTAATGTATCCTTTAGGTCCTTGTGTATTTCACTGTAAGACTTTATGGACTGGTTGGTCTCAGTGAAAATGTTCTGCAGCATTTGCAGGTGGAGTATTCTGTAAAGAATAATAATTGTGTAGAATGAGTAAAGCACATTATCATGAGTTTTGGGTAATTGTCACTGAGTGTTACTCTGAATTATGCACATGCTTTGCATAAAGTTTTTCTAGCACATATAACAACGACATCATTAAATAATTTAACATATAATGTGCAGTTTAGTTTTTTAAGCAAGCAATTCGTATCTTTTGCAATGCCAGCCTAGTCTATTGTGAGTACTGCCTTAAAGCAGACTTTCGAATAATTAGGTATTTGGTAGTCTCTTAGGCTCAACTCACACTAGACATGTCGCGACGCGTCATATTTTTCGCTGATAGAATATGCATGTCTATTTTCCCATTATTAAGTTACAAATTTGTGTTATGCAAATATGGAAATGCGCGTCGACGCTTCGTTGAAGTCGAAGTCGAGCGATTTCGCGCGTTACTTGGGCGCAGTGAGGTGTCAGACGCCGATCACACTGTGATCTGACTCTGTGCCAGTGTGAGTTGAGTCTTAAGGTCTAACAGTCTACAAGTGAAGCAATACAAATAATTATTTATTTTAAATGCAAAATAAAGCTATATCATTACTTGGTAGTTTGAATCCAATTAAGCTGTAATAAATATGTATAGTTAATAGTTTAAACAACAACAGAAAACAGACTACTAAATAAATACTAAAACATGTGAAATGGGTTAACTTTCAACAGAATTATGACAGTATTTCTACGAGTGTAAATATTAATTAAAACAACTTACTTAGACTTCAAATTCGAAATTTTAGTCTTCAAAGCGAAGAGTTCACTAGAATTACAACTGAATTGTGATACACCATGAATACGATGGTTAAGCCATTCCAACATTAACTCCATCTTCTCACTCTCCTGCTCCTGCAATCTATCTAGGTGGCTATCTCTGTCTTTCAGCTCTTTCAACTGTTCCGTTTTAAAATTTTTACAGTTCTCTTGAGTTTTTTTGAGTTTCTCAAGCTCTGTAATGCTAGCTGGCAGTCTCTTTTCTATCTTGGAAATGATTGCCTGGTTCAGTTCGACTTGCTCATCATAACTTAGTTCAGCAGCTGATTGGTGCATGAACCCTGAAATAACAATGCACATAAAACTTTTAAAAATCTCTTAAATACTGTTCCCATAGGGAACTAGCGTTGCTACCATGTCACTGCCTTTACGCAATAACGTAGTATTGCAGAATACTATGATTTTGAATTAAAAATACAGTGGCGAAGACAGCATGCTAACCTTATCGTGATTAAAGCACCCACCTTCTTATTGCATGTGGCTGCTTTATTGTCATGATGGGCAATTTGTTATCAACGATGAACTCTAAGCCCTTATTATACAGAATATGAAAATGTGGAAATGCTTACGTCTGAGAAAGAGTAGATTTAAGCCATTTCGACCCCTCCTACGAAAAGTATCGTATGTCGAAATTGCCAAGTTTACAAGGGAGCGTTTTAAAGTTCTCCGTTTTATCCAGCAAAGTTCGTTACTCACATCATCATCATAGATATCGGTTAGATGATCATCATAGATCATATAACCAATATCTAGGATTTTATATTACTCTATGTGAGTAACGAGTAGCAAACTGAGAAATGCTAAAGTCACGTGTTGTGCTTATTTCAGTGAATTCAGAACTTTAAGGCTCCCCTGTAATCTTGGCAATTTCAATATACGATTCTTTACGTAGGAGGGGTCGATATGTAAAGAAGCTTACCTAGCACCGTAGCAGTGCTCTCATCGGCCGTACTGACCCTGTGCAAGCTCGTATGCTGCTTTAAATCTGTCTCTGCAATAATTCTATTTACTTTTCCCCTCAATTTTACAGACATCTTGCTGGTCGAGTCGCTGCAAATATCCTTTATGATTTCTAGAAGATTATTTTCACCAATTAAGTCGAGCTCCTCGTTCACATTTTCTGTATTTGTTGCGAAATCCATTATTAAAATTCTGTTTTATTCGCAAAAATATTGAAAAAAATTAAATGCGATCTACTCAAAACAAACATTCGAATTGAATGTGTATTAGACATGTGTAAGTAATGTGAGTCATATTACAAAGGTGATATCACGCGACAGGGTACTGTGATATCACGCATCACTTTGGAAAAATATGCATTACTCATAACATTACCCATTATAGACTTTCCATCCTCTAAGCATTACATAGACCATGTCGGGGCGCTCTGGGAGTTTCCCAATATGAACTAAATATAGTAAATACCTATATTAATAGCGCCACCCAGCAAATTTTCGACGTACTACTTGATCGGACATTGCTAACCGTGCCGTAGGGTTACGTAGCGCTGCTGCCAGGTGTCGCTACTTACACCCATTACGCGAAACAGTACTCGGCGTGATTCAATACTGTGATGCAATGATGCAATGTAATGCTAACATCACGCGTGATGTTCTCATTACGCGTGATGTTAGCATTACGCGTGATGTTAGCATTACACGTGATGTTAGCATCACACATTACCCGCGTGATGCATCGCTCGGAAACAGTACTCGCGTAATGTATTACCTGAAACAGTACGCGTGATGGTGGTATTACGGAGTGATGTTTATAGTCTAAGTAATGCGAGTGACGTTGTAACGGTAACATCACGGAATGATGTTTGTTTATGAGACATCTCGTGTAATAGTAATATTATGCGTAATGCAATGTTAATGCATCTAATTTGGAATGTTGTAGTAGAACGATGTTTGTATTAGCACCCAAATTATTTAATAACTTACTATGGTGGTTGGTGTGGGTTGGTGGATGGTGTAATTGAAATAAACCGTAGACAGACAATTTAAACTGAAATTTCATAATTTGTTAATCAATGCTTGATTAAATATAATATTACAATATTTCTAGAAGGAGATCGATACGCTTTTATACAATCTTGGGTCAAGATGTAAAAGTTGAAGGTGATAATAATAAATAGCTTATGTATTGTTATATCATCACTGGAACTTCTACGAAATTTGGCGACCTCAGCCAACAGCCATGCTAACCAAAAAAAATCACGTGTTTTCTTGTTACAATAAAGTATGAATGTAAATTGTAAATCTTTCCGGGGTTCTCAGTTAATCTCACTCAGTGTTGGGTCATGGAAAAATTTCCATTAAAAAAATCATATGTATTTTTCAGAAAAATAAATGATTTCCGGAAATGTTTGCAATATTTTTCCTCTAATTTTCCCACATTTGACGTTGACTTTGATTTCCGCCAAGTGTCAAAACAAAACTCAAAAGTTGAAGCGCAGACTAAGGAGAAGACAGTACGTATGTTGAAGTTACTGAACGAAAACGATGGAGCCAACAAGAGTTGGTGATGGTGTGGTTGGTGGAGGATTTGTCATTGTGTGAGATCATCTTAAATCTCATTTTTCTTATAGGTGGCTTTTAGATATACAACCCTTTTTTTTAAAACCATAGTTCAACTTATTAAATTTTGGCCCCGACTGCCCCGTCTCCATTACCTCTCGGAAAATTATCCGAGATATATAACAGTATCTCAGTCTCACACGCACTCGCCATCATTCAAGTTAAATTAACAATTATTATGATGCGTATAGGAATTATTTCGTAATGTATCGTTTTTTTATTACACATACGAGGTGAACTTGGGTATATATCGATATTAATAGCGCCACCTAGCAAATTTTCGACTTACTACTTGATGGGACATTGCTATCCGTGCCGTAGTGTCACGTAGCGCTGCTGCCAGGTGTCGCTACTAACACCCATTACGCGAAACAGTACGCGGCGTGATGCAATGATGCAATGTAATGCTAACATCACGCGTAATGTTAGCATCACGCGTAATGTTAGCATCACGCGTA